ATGGACGAGGCGATACGAAGGAAGCTTTTGGCGGACGGTGAGGGAATGGGTGATGAGCGGCGATTGATCCTGGTGACGAAGATGTTCATGCGATGGAGCACCGACGGTAGCGACGTGACTCTGCGAAAACTGAAACACATGCTGCAACAGAGTGATACTGCCATGTATAAGACGATGTTGGTTAACCAGGCGATCGCCCGCGAGTCAAAAGAGTGTTCTGACCTGGCGGCGAAGGTACAGCAGCAGATGATCCAGGCGCAGACGCGCTTCGTCGAGTGGAAGCAACGTTTGAAGGATGCACAACAGGTGCGTAAGTACCAACAAGAGTATGAACTGATCTCAGAGATGATCAACAAGTACCCGAGTCGGGCAGAAATGAATCGTCGTCTGGAACAGTTGCGCGAGGACCTGCGTAACAGTGCTGAGCGCCGCAAGCACTGCGATGCTGTGCTCGAAATCCGCCGTAAGCAGGCACACCTCCTTATGATAGCGTTAAACGAGCTGAATCACCAAGTGGGCAACACTTGATACCACTCTTGAAACCTTCTGACAGTGGAACTGACCTGATATGGTATAACATATCAGTTTACATACATATTTACATGCATTGATTTGTCGTGGTTAGTTAATATGTTCATAACAACTTTTGTAATTAAATCAGAAATTGAAAACTGAACAAATATGATTTATTTACAAACATCACTATGCATATTCTAATTGAGCAGATCACCTCGCATAGAATGATTACCTGTAGTTTTAACGAAGTGCGATTAGAACGTCGAAATATCCTCAGCCACAACATGAGTAAATTGGGAGATACGTGAATGCATATTCTTGACTGGAAGCATATGAACTGAAGATTTATTGGTGTGCTGTTTCATACAGGAATCAGTGTATCCGGAACCAGTGGCAACATATAATGAGTCATCGTTGAGCCACCTCGTCGAACTGTTTCCATGAAAGCTGTGGATTGAATCGTACTGTATGGTTATGAACGACTTCGTTTGCCCAATGATGATTAGTTAAACAGTTACCATTCTTTAATAAAAGGATAAAAAGGAATGTTTATAACCACTAGAATACCTACTTTTCTTATACTTGCACGATAAGATCATTTTTGACACGATTTTTTTTCTCGAACTCAACTATGGGGCGCAAATTTTCGTTTCCATGCCATCAGCCACGAGTGCCTCATTTTAAAGGTTGACTCAACAGTAACTATGTGGTAACCGCCACGTTGGCCTCTTATTTCTTTTCGATATAGTGCAGTGGTACTTATTTGCCTACCTCGCAGGGAAGAAAGGTGAATGCCCCGATGGGGTCTTGAGTGCGGTAGCTCTAGGTCTGAGTTCGACACTGCTAAGAAACGTTACAAAATATGCTGCTTCAGAGATATTGCCTCGCCTCACCGGTGATTAGTGCTTATAGTACAGTGCCAGTTCTCTTCGTCAGCACGATCTTTACCAGTGAAAATCACTAATATATGTGCACAAAGACACGTTGTCTACATGGGATTCTTTTGAACCTCATTTACATACCGGCGCAGACAAGCTGTTCATAGATCTGGTGTTCTGCGTCTGCTTCATTCTCTAATGAATATTAAAATGTTTAAAGACAGTTTAAGATCAAGTGAAAGTTTATTTTGTAATATGGCTATTGACGTGCATATTTTTATTTATAAAGTGAGGTATCTTTCTTGAGCAAGGAGCACACCCCACGTTGGTTCGGTGCCATCAGCCGAGAAACTGCTAACGAGTCGCTTACTTGCGATCCACCAGAGCAACAGTTTGTTCATGTGTGGTCAAACAAGAATATGCAAGAGATACGATCATGTTGTTCGGTGCGAACGTCTCTTAGAGCTGCAATTTTTCTTGACTCACATGACAGCTGCTTGTTCAAAGTGATAATCAATAAAAGTTGTTACTCTTCCCAGTTGTAGTATATAGTGCGGTTGTAAGCGATTGCTTCCTGCAGCTGTTGTAGGTTAATAACCTTGAACACTCAGATATTTAAAGTCTTTGTCTAATGCAAGAGTTCCGTTTTAACAAAAAATGCTACGAGTACGTTTTCGTTGGTCGGCTGTCAGAAGCTTGACAGAAATCAGTGAACGTAAAATGCACTCTCATCACGGACTCACCCTATAACTACCTATATCTATATCACCCTATATCTACCTATATCTATACTCACCCTATATCTACCCTCTGTTAAAGTTCAGCAACTTTGGAATGCTTATGTTCATGTTCAGTTCTGAAAACTGTGCTTTCACTAATAATTTTATGGTACATGAATTTGTTGCTTTTTCGTTGTTACTGTTGCTACGGTCGTCATCCAAGACTGATCCAGATTTAGAAGTGTCGTTGTCCGCGTGGGTGCTGTCGAACCGATTTTGAAACTGTGTTCTGGAGTCACATTAAGTGCTTTTGACTGTAGCGGCAAAGATAGCATGTTTACCGTTTACGAGTAGTGTCAAGTTACTCAATCCTTAGCGATTCGTTGGTGGCCAGTGAAGATTATTGTAAAAAGTTTAGACGAAATTTACCACCGTCCGTTGTGGGTATTTTGCCACGCCAAGCTATGCACTGATGTCTGGGTTCTTTCTATGGCTTTTGCAGAAAGGGTGATTATCGGTGGTTCTTAGTTCGTGACTTGGTTGCAGTGTCGCACTTTTTTAGTAAATTACAGACGGTGTTGTTCGAAACTACCGGGACAAACTTCTTGACGTTTCAAACATCTAATATATCTTTATTGCTTGTACAAAACAACTTAATGGTGCATACGTTTAAGTGTACTAATAAATGCTAAACTTTTTCACAACCATGTTTCACGGCATATTGCACCATTTTGTTGTTAGTCTTAGTTGCATTGTGGGTGGGGGGGGCATTAATACATGCCACCAGTCTTAGTACTTTGAAATGTTGATTTAACTGGTTAGAGCAGTACCTTGCAGCCCGTAAGCAACAGTTACTGAAATCTGGCTTTGGGCGAGCAACAGTTGAATATGATTTTCGACTACCGAAACATCTTTATGTCAAAGAATGATAGTTTTTTAATGATCGGGGTTGTGTAGTCGATAGAAAGTCGGATTCAGCATCTGACGATATTGAATTCGAGTTTCTGTCGTGTCATTTTCTTTTCCTCCGACGCTGATGAATGAATATCACTCATTAAAAAAGAAACGCTAGACCACATTACACTTGCCTTATAGCTGCTGTTGACCCTGCATTCAAAGCAAGGCACTCTTGGCGGATGGTATGACATAGAAATTCAGTTCATCGCATCACCATTAATTTCATGAAAATAAGAGTTCCGAGAGTGACCCTATTTTGAAAGTGTAAGAAAGATAGCCATGCCAGTGGTCACTATGGAAAACAGAAACTTTAATTTGCAGAATTCGACTCTTATTCAGTTAATTTTGTTGAATTTACGATGATACATTTATGTCTGTATTTCGCCTTTGAATTATTACGCAAATGCAACAGTTTGTTTGCGAGACTCGCGTCCTCACACCTGTCAGATCGCCAAGGATTAAAGATGATCGTCGTCGCACGTCAACCCAAGGTTTAAAGAAAAAAGCTCTGGAATTGCGGCAAGGAGTCACCGTCTGATCAGAGTCTACTGACTCTCGTCGAAATGGTGTTTCAAAGAGGCGTTAATCATCTGCTGCTGCCTACACCTGTGTTCACCGCATTGGCTATTGCTGACAACAATAACGACAAGCAAGAAAAAATGCTGTCATCACATCTTGAACTACGTGTGTGGGATACGGACCAGTACTGACTTTTCGGCCCGTGTCTCGCGAACCTTTTTACCTTGAACAAGGTCCATATGAATTGGGGCTAACAGTCGGATTGATCATATTATTTGCGTTGCGTATAAATGAACCGTGTCTTA